AAAAAAAAAAAAAAAAACAAAAAACTATGTCACTATTCTGCTAAAAAAAAAAAAAAAAAAAGCCTCCAAAGCTCCTTTCTGCTTTCAGGACAAAGTCCAAGCTCCCCAGAACCAAGTACAAGGAGGCTCTTCCTGATCTGGCTCCTGCATACCTCTCCGCATACCTCTCGGGCCTCATCTCTTTCCACTCAGTCCTGCCAACACCCTACCCTCCAGCCAGAAGGAAATACTTGTAGCTCTCCCAATGCTGCATACTCTTCTCTCACTGCCTCCTTGCCTATGTGTGCATTTGTCCTACATTCTACCTGCCCCTCCCTTCTCAGACCTACTACTGCTTAATTCAACTGGTCCTTCAAATCTTATCACCTTCTCTACAAGACTGTCTCTGATCCCAGCCACGGTACCCTGTCTGTGCCTCTTCCAAAGAAAGTGCTGCCCCACTTGACTCCTCCACTGGACTGTGCTGTGCCTAGTACCTGGAATACAGCAGGTATTCCATGTTTACTGGCACCTTACTAGAGACTTATATACCATGCAGTACTGCTGAAGGGCTAATGTTTAGATGACTAGCTCAATGAGGGTAGAAAGTAAACATAATTTAAATTCTTAATCCAGAAGACCAGTATCCTTTAACTTACGCAAGATGCATTTCTTTCCAATTAGCTACATGACTTGCCCTTGCGAAAAATAATAAAACGCAACTTTTGAGATGCAAGGAAATTAGAAAGGTTGCCAACTCTTTATAATAAATACCAGTCCAATTCCACTTATGTACCATCTGTCTTCCCCTAGGACTGGGTTAGCTCATTACCAACAAGATGGACTAGGTCATATATTTTTTGTGTCTAAACAAGTGAATATAAAGCTTCAAACTATCAGAAATTTGAACCTGAGTCCATTAACCAGCTTTTAAGAAAGCTTTGATTTTAAACTTTTTGCCTTCTCCCTTTTCTTTTTCCTCCTCTAAATTCTACCCCATGCTTGCACAGTAATAATTAACCAGTACCAGATATCTGAAGACTGTAACCTCTGATAACATCACTGATGCACAAGTCTAAGTTGTTTTCAGAACAAGATGACCTTTGCAGGCTCCACGTCCAGACCACCAGGTCACAGACCACTGGGCAGGAGGCACAGAGACCACAGACAGCCTGGCTCCTGGAACTATGATTAAGAAATGTCACAAGAGCATGATTAACCACCAGCTTCCCCTCTCTTTCCCCTTTAAAAACTCCTAACTAGGGAATTCCCTGGAGGTCCAGTGGTTAGGGTGGTTAGGGCTCCATGCTCTCAAGTTGGGAGGCCGGGTTCAATCCCTGGTCAGGGAACTGAGATCCCACAAGCCGTGCGGCTCAGCCAAAAAAAACCCAAAAACAAAAAACAACAAAAACAGAAACAAAACAAAACAAAAAACCAACTCTTAACTAAAAGACCAAGTTGGAGTGGATCTGAGACTTGTCTCCCACTTCCTTGCTTGGCACCTTGCAATAAAATCCTTACTCTGCTGCAAACACCTTACTTTGCCGTGCCCTGGGCACGTGAGCCCTTTTCGCCTTTTCAACTTGAGCAAACTGCTGATCTGATTTCGGGGGCGGGGGCGGGGGAGTAAGGATTACAAAATACTGTACGCTATTTGTCCCTTGAGATGTGCTTAAGACAAGGACACAATTTAGAGTTTCAATCAACATTAACTCAATTGTACATTTTCATTTCTCCCAAAAGCAGCATATTTTTAAAGAAGCATTTCCTCAACGGAATGTAAGTTACATTTTTTGAATTGTCCTTTTTTGAGGATGTAACTCCTTGGGAGAACAGGTAAAGGGACAATTTTATATCAGATACACCATATTAACTAAAAGCAAAAAGCAGTGTGTTTACAGAATATTTGAGGTGTTTCTCAAAGTCAGTCTTCCCCTGAAGGACACAACAGAACTTGATATTGAGTGTTCTGAAAATACAAAGGAGACAATGACCTCACATGTACTGACAAGTAAGAAAAAAATTCTAGCATGATGACAAAATTCTTTTGTGGTGTTGGAGGAAAGGGATCACCAAAAGCCTCTACTTTCAAGGATTAGAACTGCCTCTAAATTATATAAAGTTTAAATGCTCACTTTTAGAATTAGTCAACCCCATTTGCTAGTCTTGCCATCCCGGTGTTTCATTTTTTTGCAAGGGGTTGTGTATGTGTAATTTAACACTCATTACCATGTATCAGTTGAGAGACAGGGTAACCTGAAGCTAAGACTTTTACATATGCAACCGGGTACGTCTGAAAGACGCTGTATAGTTAGTTGGTTTCCCAGTGATATGGACACTATGCTTCATCCCCTCCTTCTAAAATGCACATTTACAAGACCCTCTGTGAAATTCGCAAAGGGAATCAAATGCAAGAGAACCTTCAAATATAAGCCCAAAACAAACATATTAAAAATGAAAGTTAATGCCCAACTCCCAAATTTTCCATAGGTCCCCAGGCGGGAGACAGCAAAATGCTAAAGAATCCAGCTTTGGAGTTAGGTCAAAATCCCAGCTTCCCAATTACTGTCTGTGTGCCTTGAGCAAGAGAGGTTACTCCCTAAACCCCAGTTTCCTTATTTACTAAAGGAAGGTAATACCTCTACGGGTTATTTCAATTAAATAAAAGCTATATAAGGGAACTTTTGGCAGTACTGCTCATGATGTCAATGAAACAAGGTTTGAGTTCTATTTCTGTACCTGGCACTTACAAAGGGTTTTAGTAAAGTACAGTACAAAGAATACTGGACGAGCACTAGAAAGATCTAAGTTAAATCTTACATCTCTGGTGTTTATTCAGCTATAAAATGCAGGAGTGTGCTAGCTGATCTCTAAGCAGCTTACCAATTCTGAAAAACTAAAGCAATCCTCAATTTCTAAACCCTACCTTCATTTTTGTTTATTTTCTTATTCCTTGACATGAGAAACTCATGTCCCTTTGAAACATGTGAGGAAAAACAAAGAAAGGACAAGATGCTCAAGAAACTTATCATTTGAGTCATATTCAAACTGTAGGCCAAGCTTTTTTGCAGGGAGCAGCATGAGGGGTTCTGAATGATTCACTCACATTCGTGGAAGGCAATAAACGCCCCTACCGGAGACTGTAAATTCTCTGGCACAAAGTCACTGCTAAGCACGCTGTCTAGCACAGAGCAGACACTCCAAAATGTCTGTTGAATGAATAAATACCTAGCTGACACCTGTTGCTCCCTATAAACTCTTTCGATTGCTCTCCTTACTCAAGTCAAAATCCAAGAAAGATGGTCGGCACATAAGAGCTGTATCGAATACCTTCTGAACGAATTAATTCTTCAAATCCTCAATTATGCTAAATGGGAAACAAAGACCTTGTGAGAAACGCTGAACCACCACCGGGAAAAACTTCAACGCCAAAGTTTCAACATTAAGGAAATGTTAAGGGATCCGTTTCTCGACCTCTTCAAGCGCTGACGAGCACCCTTAAAGGCGCTTGGGGGAAAAAAACCCAGCTCCTGTTGTTCTACCCCGGTACACTCGGCTCTCCACGCCCTACTTCCGACACAGAAACCTTCACGGTGGATGTCACTCGAGCCAGCACTGAACAGACACGAACACGGGGAGGACAAAAAGACATCTCTCCACGTTCACAAGGGTCACCATAGAACCACATACTCTGAAAAGACCAAATTAAACACGAACCTAATGGAACTGGCTATTCGGCTTAAGAAAAACTAATTTCCTATAGCTTATGGAGGTAAACAAAACTCCAAAAACCGAAGTCGAACGGTCCATCTTCCCCCTCCTCTCCCAGGAATGCGCCTACTTTACACATCGCACCCCTCCCCCCTCGACCCCGGCGATCACACTTCGAGACCCTTCCCCGGTGCTCAGATCGTTGGGTGGGCCTCGGGGAGAGAGGCTGCCCGCTGGGCTTTCGGTTGTTACGGCGAGGTCCCCGGGAGACGAGCCTGCCGCGGGCTCTCAGAGTAAAATTGAAAGAGGAAAAAAAACCCAGACTCGCCCACCGTGGCGTATGGCGCAAAGCAGTGGGGGATTTTAGCAGAGTTGAGGGGTCCAGAAATGACTCAATTTCCTCCTCCTGCTCTTCTGCGGAGCCGGGCTTGCCGCCCCAGGTCCGCGCACCCCCTCCCCACATGGTGTGTAGCTCCTCTTCAAAGCACGTGAACTTTAAAATGGTGCTTTGGGCGGGGGGAGGGCCGACTGGGAAAGGAAGGATCAAAGGAGCTTGGGGCGGGTTAGCGGGCGCCTGGAAAACAGGCCCTGGGGGGCGGGTGTGGCGCCCCGGTGACGTGCACGTCGCTAAGGGGGTGGTGGGTGGAAGGAGGCGCACCGGGCAAAGGTGGAGGGAGAAATGCAACGCGGCCCCTTTAAGAGGCCTTCACGGCGCTCAGGGGCCGGCGGCCTCTCCTTCGCCCCCGGTCCGGCGTGCGAGGCCCTTCCTCGGGGAGAACCATCCCCAGACCCGCTCCCCAGAGGGTTCCCTCACGCCAGGTCCCGCCCGGCCCAGTCCCGGGGCGGCGGCTCCTCCTTACCCCGCTGTCTGCCGCCTCCTCCCAGCTCTCAGCGACCTCCTCATCTTCCATCTTACTCGCCGCTTTCCCTCCTCCCCCACCCCCTCTCCGCGCCTGCGCCCTGAGGCGCGTCTCGGTCGCGGGCGCCAGCGCGCAAGGCTTTGCTCAATGAACCCCGCCCCGTTCCAAGCCCGGAAGAGGCTTCAGTCCAAGGCCCAAGATCATCCAGGAAGCCATCTTGGGAGAGGGCAGAGAAATCAGAAAGTTGCCATTTTTCTTAAGGGCAACGTGATTTTTCTCTCTCCCTCTCCCCGTCCCCCTCCCCGTCCCCCCCCCCCGCCCTCTCTCTCTCTCTCTCAGTGGGAGTCTCTGGAACCATCTTTTCTAAGGGCAAACAATTACTAATTTTTAAGTCGTAGTTTTCATAAACTGCATGTTATGCTTTTTCAAAATTCTGAAAACATTTTTATACCTCAACAAAGTGGAACAGGAGATAAAACATTGGCCAGCTTAAACTGGTTTTGACTCCTTAAATAGGTTATTGATTAATCAAATCTTGAGGGTTTTTTATAGAGACAGTACTGCGCATGTGCAAGGCCGGAACCCACGTTTCTAGGATGACCCCGGAACCAAGAATCTTCAGTCTGGGGAACTCAAACAATAGAAATGTTGCCATCGGACCCCTTAGCCAGCTGAAGCAAGAAGCCCTTCAGTAAGGAAAATCCGGCTTCCACCTGCCATAGTACCTTGTTTACCATATATGGACTGCTTTGAAAACTAGCCAATCAGCTTGTGCCAAGTTTGAAATTTCCCTAACCTCTTAAATTTTGCCCCAAACCCTGGCTGAGGGGGAGACAGATTTGAGCCCTGCCTCCTGACTCCTTGCCGGTCGACCTCGCAATAAAGCTTTTTCTTTTCTCAAAAGCTGGTGCCATAGTATTGGCTTCTGTGCGCGCCAGGCAGTGAGCCCTTGCTCGGTGAGAATTTCTGGCGATCGCAAACTAACTAACCTCCTGTGATCGCCTGGCTGAGGCACTGTAGCCCCCGGCTGGGTGTAGGCCCTCGTCACCGACCCTGAGTGGCCACCTAGACCCGATTTGTCTAGAGGCTCGGCTGTCGGGTTCCTGCTTCCCGCAGCAGCTGCGCTCCAGGCTCCTCCGCGCTACTTTCACTTTTGGGGAAAGAAACAGCTCCTGGATCTTTTGGGTGAGTAACCTCATTAAAACGCGCTTGTGCCTAAATTGTCTAATAATAATTATTAGACAATAATTGTCTAATCAGGATTGTGGGTTAGAGTCCCACTCTAAGGGAGACAGTATGAAAGGTTCAATCCGTGGTCTGGGAACTAAGATCCCACAAGCCGCACAGCGCGGCCAAAAAAAAAGTTATAGCCACCGAGGTACTCAAAAGATCCGGTTAGAATCCCAGGCCTTTGGATTTCTTGGTCTATATCTGACTGTTTTGTTTGTTAGGAATTGGCTAATAGGGTTAACTATTGGATGACCACAGAAAAAGTTTATTGAATCTGTTTTATGTCATTTTGCTGTGATCATCCTGAGAAAAAAGTACTTCAAAGATGGGGAATGATAACAGCGTACCAGACGGCACTCCCTTGAAAAGTGTTCTTTGAGGTTGGTCAATGTTTACCTCTAATGATGAAAGAGGTATGAAAAAAAAGAAAATGATTTTCTTTTGTAACACTGCCTGGCCCAAATATCTACTGGAGTCAGGGGAAAAATGGCCCCCAAATGGGTCTTTGAACTATAATACTATTATACAGTTAGACTCGTTTTGTAAGAGAGAGAAAGAATGGGACGAAATCCCATATGTAGACTCATTTATGTCTTTATATAAGAGGAGAAATATGCATAAGGCATTTATTGATAAAATGATGGGTCAGAGGGAAGAACCTCACAAAAAGCCTGTTTTACCTGAGTCAAAGTCTAATGACGATCTAGTCCCTCCGTCTGCACCTTTTGCAGTAGCTGGACTGTCGGCACTTCCTTCGGTAGCCCCTCCCTCAGCACCTCTTGTGGTTCCTGCGAATCCTGAAGGGGATCTTCCTGCAGGCAGTGCCAAGGCTTTTACCAGTCCTCCTAGGGCTGCTGGTCCCGCTCTGTACTCGCCCTTAGCAGATGGTCACAAAGGAATGGTCTACCCTCCCTGTACCCTCCAGGGTATTCAGTTTGGCCCAGGGAACATTCTACTGTAGGCGGGACAATTTCCGTTAAGGCAGGTCCCAGCAGGCTTGGATGACCAAGGCCAATCCAGAGCACTTGGAATCACGCGTCATCGTTTATCAGTCATAGATTTACTTAATTATAAAGCTAAAATGCCATCTTATCAAGATGATCCTAGGAATATGGAGAATCTCTTTACATATATTTTTGCTGTTTTTCATCCTAACTGGGCTGACATACAGACCCCCATGTGTATCCTACTCAGTCTGGAGGAACGCAGCATGATATTAGAGGAGGCCTTCCAGGAAGCCAAAAGGCTTCATGAATTAAAACCAAATAATCCAATCAGAACTCCAGCAAAGCAGGCCATCCCTGGAACTGAACCAGAATGGGATCCCAGTGACCCAGGGGATCAAGCAAGGCTGAATCATTATAAAGATTGTTTAATAACTGGACTGCAAAAAGGGGCAAACAGCTTCAAGAGGGCCCAGAATGTACAGCCAGGGCCTGAGGAGGCCCATTCACCTTACTTGAAAGGCTTTATGAGGCTTTCCGAAAATATACTGATATTGATCCAGAACACCCAGATAACATGGGACTGGTCAATTTAAACTTTATCAGTCAGAGTGCCCCAGATATAAGAAAAAAACTAGAACGACTGGAAGGGGGATCATGGACACCAACGTCTCCGTTGGTCCAGACTGCTTTTGAAGTGTTCAAAGGCCGATACGAAATTTGGGAAAAGCAGGAGCAATGCATCGTGAGGCAGGTTGCTCTGCTCAGCTGTAACCAGTCAAAACCCAGCAGGATGTCTGCAGGAGAGAACAAACGACTATGGGTAAGACCCTGGGGACCTCCAAAACCCAGCCAGAAAGGCCATCCATCTGTTGGGCCACAACAGTATGCCTTTTGTAAACAGGAAGGGCACTGGAAAAGGGAGTGTCCCCAAAACAGACAGGGCCCCCTCTCCCCCAAGATAACATCCATTACTGGTGTATCTGGGGAAGTCTCTCAGAAACCTTTTCTACAATGGCTTGAATGTCATGTAGAGAAAACACATGTAAAGTACAGCTTTGTGTATGTGCCTGGATGTCATAGTCCCTCATCAGGGCAAGAGGTACTAACAAATTTAAATGACCAAGTGGGTTTCTCAGCAGAAAAAGTAGACACCAAAGTACTCCCAGGTCAAGACTGCGCCCTCCAAGCTGCGCCATTACAATTGGGAGACAAGCCTCAAGCAGATGTCCCTGAAGAAATTCTTCAAAAGGTAAGAGCAGAAGTTTGGGCTGACGGGACACCAGGAAGAGCCAAGACGGCTGACCCAGTAGTGGTAAAACTCCATCCAGGTGCCCAGGCTCCAAAGTTAAAGCAATACCCTTTAAAGAGGCACCCAAAGGAAGGTGTAAAGCCTCTGATAAACACTTTCCTTAAATGCCAATTAATCCAACCTTGTCAATCCCCATATAACACTCCCATCCTGCCAGTACAAAAACCTGGGACTGAAGATTGTCGTTTTGTACAGGATTTGAGAGCCATCAACCAAATTGTGGAGGATGTACATTCGGTGATGCCAAATCCTTATACTTTGCTTACAACTTTATCTGGAGACTTCTGCTGGTTTACAGTTCTGAACTTAAAAGATGCCTTTTATTGCATACCCCTAAGTCCTGAGTCCCAGGAACTGTTTGCCTTTGAGTGGAATGATCCAGAGACTAATATAAAACAGCATGAATCCTGGACTGTACTTCCACAAGGATTTAAAAATGCCCCCACCATCTTTGTGGAGGCCTTAGCCAAAGCAGGAATCCTGGACTGTACTTCCACAAGGATTTAAAAATGCCCCCACCATCTTTGTGGAGGCCTTAGCCAAGGACTTAAAGGATCTCCAATTAGATGGAGGAATCTTAACTCCGGTATGTGGGTGATATACTTACTAAGCGCTAGTATAACTAAGGAATCTTCAGACCAAAATACAATCCTCACTTTAAACTTTTTGGCAGACTGGGGATATAAAATCTCCAAGGGAAAGGCACAAATTTCTCAACCAGCTGTAAAATATCTAGGAATTGAGTTATCAAAAGGAGAAAGAAACTTGCCAGATCGAAGGGAAGCATCCACCACCAGAAAGCAATTGCGAAGATTCTTAGGAATGGCTGGGTTTTGTTGTATTTGGATTCCTAACTTTGGACTTATAGTCAAACCTCTATACGAGGCTCTCAAAAGAAATGCCAATGAGCCATTAAGCTGGACTGCCCATGAGTCATTCCGTACCATCAAGGAGAAAATTTCAACAGCCCCAGCACTTGGTCTCCCCAGCCATTAGAAAGTTATTTGATCTTTTTGTAAATGAAAGACAGAGCATGAGTCTTGGAGTGCTAACTCAAAATTTAAATACTGCCAGAAGGCCAGTAGCTTACTTTTCCAAACAATTGGATGTTGTAACTCAGGGTTGGCCAGTTTGCCTCGGGGCTGTGGCTGCAACCTGTGACCTTTTACAAGAAGCTGAAAATTTTACCCTGGGTTGTCCTACCACTGTGCACACCCCACATCGTGTGCAACTTTTACTTGAACCAAAGGGCCGTTATTGGCTTACTTTGGGGAGACTGGGCAAATACCAGGCCATACTATTTGACAACCCAAAGGTAACATTAAAAGAAGTGTCTGCTTTAAACCCAGCCACTCTGCTCCCTAGAAGAACCTGTTCATGATTGTATACGAAAAACTGAAGAAGCATATTCTAGCAGACCTGACCTGACTGATCAGCCTTTAGAGAATCCAGATGTGGAAGTGTTTGCGGTCGGGAACAGCCTCATGGATTGTGGACTCCGAAAAGCTGGATATGCAGTGGCAACTCATCAGGAGGTCGTAGAAGCAGAATCTCTCCCTCCAGGT